GGGGTGCCTGGACATAAAGGTTTGTTTCTAAATGAAATAGCCGATTCCTTAGCTAAGTCGTCAATCAGCGAACCAATTCTACCACTCTGTCCATCATCCGCTTATGTGACTGCTGCTCGATTCCGCAGACGTACGCTTATGCAAGTCTTTATAGGTTCAGCAGTGACAAACTCTACAGAATATCGCCATTTATTATATCCCTGGCGAAGAGACTTTTGCCGCACTCGAAAACAAGAAGTAGCTATCACAAGGCTGCGTTGCCGGGTACCAAATCTAATATTCTATAAACACAGGTCTGCCCAGGCAGCTTCGCCACTGTGTGCATTCTGTGATGAACTGGAAACAATAGACCATTTCTTTTTGACCTGCAGGCGGTTTAACACATTACGAAAAACCCTATTAGAAATACCTTTACGTGGTATTGGTATGGACTTATCTCTGCCTGTCATTTTTTCTTTTGGAGCTTCTATTTCTGGTTTCTCTAATGCGACAGTATGCGCGGCCGTCCGGGACTATATTGATGAAACTAATAAGCTGACTAATTAACCAGTTTCATTATCCTAACAGGTCCACATAATTATATACGTATAAAATTATATTATTGCTCTATTCTAAGAATAGATTCGTTTATGTAAATATTTGCATGCAATACATTAAGCAACACACTTTCCTAGGCTATCGGTAATTTTTCTGTTAAACCTCCATCATTCAAAATCTGAACAGTAAATTTTCAAACCACTCGATTCTTGGCCAATCCCCCGAAGTGGGTATGTGCCACTTACAATAGGAGAACAACAACAACAACAATACCTACGGAGTGAATGATGGAGAGTGGGGCGAAGCATTCGCCCGTCCATGCGTCCGTCTGTGTGACCATCCATGCGTCTGTTCGTGCGCCCGTCCCTGCGTTCGTTCATGCATCCGCCCCTGCGTCCGTTCATGCGTCCATCCATGCATCTGTCTGTGTGTGCGTTCGTCCATCTATTCAACACTCCAAGTCCCACCATCTCGCATTTTTTATCATATATTCCCCATATAGAAGCACCGCCATTCAGTGGACATTCCAAGGACTAAACGAGAGGTGGCACACGCACACTTTCTTACGGCTTGCGCTTCGGGTCTACTTCCCACCTTCAACCACCTTGAGTTCATGGTATATACTAGTTCATTGTATTCATGGCCCTGCGGCTCAACGCTCGCTAAACCTTTCTAAAACTAAGGAGGTTACACCCAGCGAGAATAATGTAGCAACCTTTTCTTGTCCGATAGTGCTCAATGTACATGCCAATGGCTGCTAATGGGGATCGCAGCGTGCGCGTTGACTAAAAGCCGAATGCTCCTGTCTCTCATTCCCCATTAGCAGCCATTGGCATGTACATTGAGCACTATTTTTGATTGTTCAACAACGCACAGAAGAAATCTCTCACCGGCACCACCTTGGAGGTCAAATGTTATACCTATTTCGGGTATGTGCCACTGGTGGTTACGTACTACGAGAAACGCACAAGCCACGCCATAAGAAGCTTCGCCCCTAAAAAGCTTTGAAAGGCTGCTGTTCCACCTTTCGCAGTGACTGTGCTCCGTCTTCCGCACAGACCTGGCGTTTTTCGGTAGTGGTTCTTGAATATTCAACCTTGAAATAGAGCTTACACACCTGAAAACCATAAAAGTGCTTTGCCGTAAGTCTCCACATGCATATAAATTTCAAGGAAACATATTGTTACGTGTTTTCGGTTTATGGTGACAGGACATATTAGGAAATACCCTGAAATGCGCCTATGACAAAAAGGAAGAGGTTGGCGCCTTTTTGTGACCTGTGTTGTGGCTGCCTAATATCTGGTGTTCTTTCCACGTAACTTTTTGGTGGAGGTGCTTCATATGCACCTCCAACAAAATGTTACGTGGAGATGCTTCGTAGGTGGTGGATCTGGCGCGAAATGCGTCAACTGTTCACCTGCTCGAGACGGCGGTACACTTTGATTACGGTGTCGGTGGTCATTACGTTTGTAAAGACAAGTAGACCAAATGCATCGTTGGCGATGGCTTTCAATGTGTGCGATATTTTGTCAGCCTCAGCATGTTGGGATCGGCCTTTTCACACAAGGCTTACACGTCCCTAATGTAAGTATGGCTCGGTGGACCTCTGAGTACGTACGGCCAATTGCGTTCGAGCCTCAAGCTGTTGATTAAACGGGTTGCCACAAAGGTCGCGGAACAGTTCTTCAAGCATTTCTCAGCTTGTGAATATGTACTCATGGGTTTCAAACCAGATGCGAGGAGTCTTGTAAAGATAGAATATGACATTCGCGAGCATAACGGTTAGATCCCAGCCATATTGCTTGCTGACGCGCTCGTACATACTGAGCTACTTGACCCCATAAGCGTTGTTTTCTACAATAAAAAAATTGGGATCACGGGATCAAGTTAGGTTGGCGTACAGGGTTGCTGTCGTTGCCGAGAAAAATGAAAAAGGCATGTTTTTATCCGAAGCTATGGCAGCAGACTTAAAGAGGCGTGCTCTGCGTATCTCCGTCATCCAAAGAGAACCCAGCACTTCCACCAAAATGTTACGAGGAAATGAAAGCAGATAGTCCACAGCCACAACACAGCTGACAAACAACGTCAACCTCTTCACTTTTAGTTTGTGATTATTCAACCACTGAACGCGAATTCCTAGCGCTGGTGTGGGCAGTCGCGAAATTTCACCCTTACTTATACGACCGACCATCAATAGTTCTCACCAATCACCATGCTCTTCGCTGGCTCGCCCCCCTGAAAGATCGGCAGCTCGTCTCGCTCTCTGGGCACTCCCCGTCCAAGAGTATTCTCACACCGTAGTGTACGAGTCAGCAAGACTGTACAAGGATGTGGATTGCCTGTCACGCTATACCCTGTAGCCGACTCGGAATCTACAAGCACTGATTCCGTTTACTGCAACCTTGCCATCACCCAGCTGCTTCATCTCGGTGATGAGCAGTGTGACGATACGAATATCAGTCGCCTATTACAAAAGCTTGAATCTTCACCGTACTACGCATCCGTTCGCAAGTGTACCTGAACCCTTTGAAGTCTAAAATATTGTTTCAATGAAGAACGCCAAGAAAGCTCTGGTATAAATAAATAAATGGTTAAATATGCCAATATCGTTTTCAGAAGAATTTGAATATTTATAGGCGAGTATTGAGTCGTTGCTACTGAGCAACATTGCGCACCTATGGTAATACCTCACATGGAATGCCTTCCAGTAGTAGCGGCCTGGAATAAGGTGCAGATGCACAATTCACCATTAAAGATTAAGATTTAAATGTACACATGCTCCTGCACTGGGGGACTGGGCTTGAATCGGGTAGCCTTAAAAAATATTACAAAGCTAGGAAACAGAAAATATATTGTCGTTTGATATATTAAAAACAATCTTTTTAGATTTATTATCCTGTAAAAAAGGCTAATGAACCACGCGGTCGTTTTTGTAAAAATAAAGTTTCTTCCTTTTCCTATGCTGCACAGAACGGCATGCTTGTTCGGGGAGTGACGCAGACGAGGAAGAAAACGATAAAGAGAGGACTAAACGGTTCTTAACGATGATCGATTTCTTTCTCTCCCACGCTTAAAACATCAATTTCAACAGCTCCACACATTGAAAACAATTGCAATTACGTTTTCCCATTTTTGCTTGTAATTTTATATACGCCCAGTGTTGCTCGTGAGCAACAACCCATTTTGTATCAAAGTTTTTGTCATGTAACATGCGGCCACACTAATCAACTGGCTCATAACTGTTCTACAACGTCTTCTGGGTCACTTTAAGCATTACAGGTGTCGCAGTAGCATCCTGTTCCACTGTAGTCGAGTAAGTTTTCTTTTTGTGTAGAGATTTTTTTACCACCTTTCACACACTGAAACAAAACACTATACAAAGACGCGATGCACTTTAATTTACGCGTTTTTAAAGCTCGGAACGCTCGGTAGTGTTTTGCGCCTTCCCAAGAAAGTGCAGTATCGCGAGTAGCAAGAGAGGTTAGTAGATACACTCTGGTTGTTTGAAGCAAAAACGTGCCGTAGTGGATTTTTTCGCCCCCTACAGGTGATCACTTGAACTTGAAAGTTTCCGGGGCCTAGCCTGACATGCTGGATGATGTTATCACATGCGCCCTCGGTGCCACGGGGGTCGGTCGACTCTTAACTGCTTCAACTGCATTCATCAGCCTCACTCGTGCACTTGCGCTGATAAAACATACGATGCTTTGGAGCATGTTATCAGTTTGAACTTTATGCGGACCAGCATGGTGATGGTGACGCCAGCAGCGATGGCGAAAACCCGTCGAGAATGTCCGTGTAGTAGCTATCGCAATAAAAGGAAGCTCACGCAAGATACGTTTTAACATTTATGGAGCTACTAGAATACCAAGATTGATTGATTGATATGTGGGGTTTAACGTCCCAAAACCTCCATTTGACTATGAGAGACGCCGTCGTGGAGGGCTCCGGAAATTTCGACCAGCTGGGGTTCTTTAACGTGCACCCAAATCTGAGCACACGGGCCTACAACATTTCCGCCTCCATCTGAAATGCAGCCGCCGCAGCCGGGATTCAAACCTGCGACCTGCGGGTAAGCGGCCGAGTACCTTAGCCACTAAACCACTGTGGCGGGGCAGAATACCAAGATTGAATGAGCTATTACAAGACTCAGAAAAGGGGAAAACAAGAGGTAAAGGAGAAGGAAAGGAAAGAAAGGGAGGTGAGCCAGTGCTCAGACCGGCTGGCTAACCTGTAAGAGGCAAAAATGTTTACTGCTGATAGCTACTAAACAACCTTACACAAGGCGCGCTCACACAAACACATATGGCGGTGATCTATGTTTTGCAAGAAACACCATCACGCCTGCCACCTTTCTTTCGCCGGCATTCACTGTATGAGTTGGTGTGCATTAATGTTCTCTTTATTTCAGTACGTTGCTTAATCCTGGTTTCTTTTTTCTTTCTTTCTTTTCTTTTGTGCAGCGCTTCTGAGTGTCTACCAGTGCTGGAACTTCCAAGAGTTCCTTAGCTGTATCGTACAACTTCCACTGACGACTAAGAGTTTTGACTTCTTGGCGAAGCGGACAGATCAGGACTTGGAGTATGACTGCATTTTGTATCTTCTTCTAGACACCATGATCACTAAAATAGCGCTAATAGTTGTAGAAGTAGGACTGCTTACAAAATTATCAACTATTTATTGTTATTGTTGTTGTTGATGCTGCCGTTAAACAATAGGTAGCGGAAGTATCTGTGTACCACTACAACCCAGGAGTGACGTCATTGCATTATATTACTCGTCCATCACAAACATCTTTTCCTGTCTAAATTGCGGGAAAACTCGAACAGTGCTACAGTGCACTGAAACAGGAAAATGTTCAGAACAGCTGCAGTACCAACGTACAGAAATGGGGGCAAAATGGGGACAAGCCACTTGTAGCGCTGCAATCGGTAGCCAGTAATGTGTCATCATTTAAGGGTTACGCACAGCTACGCTGAAGTACGCTGAACTGGTTCAGGGCTACAGGCTGCCCCTTCCCACCGAAAAGAGCATGGCTGGAATGGCCGCTGCAAATGGTGGGCTTCGATTTCCAAAGTCGCTTCCTATCGCTGTATTGGTTTTCCGCTGTTTCTTAAAATTAGCTTTAGTTGCTATGTACTGCTACAAAAATTTAAGTCAAGTGAAGTCTCGTCTTGAGTCTCGCATTTGCTAAAATTTCGGAGGCCACACTTTAAGCTTTTTTGTGGTGGTGGCGCTGCAAATAACTACGCACTTAAGCCCTGCGCACTAAAGTCTTTTTATATTTACATAGTAGCGGAACGTCTTCATCCAGCCGTAGGGTACAAGTGATAGGCCGCTTGGCGACAAGTGACCTTCACAGGACCGCTGCCTTTGTTGTTCTTCTCAGGATAGCTGCAGCACTGAAAGCTTACAAGAAAATGACAATGCGGGATAAGTTTTTTTCCACACCTTACTGTGTTTTGCCACACTGTTCTATCCGAGATCGATTAAGGCTTCGTTGTTGTATTCGCTCACCACAATGTTTCTGGTGAGTTCGAGTAACACAGCCTTACACTTGAGTGAAAAAAAGTGAGACTATATATGCCGCACCGAACATGTTTGCTTATTTTCCAAATCATGAGAGAACATGAGAGAGTTATTTGCGCGCTTTTTTTTGCAGTCATTATCTAGTGGTTCCATCCCTCACGACTGGCGCAAAGCTTAAAGTTACACCTATCTCAATCAAGCACTCACTCTGATCCCCTAACTACAGACCCCTTTCTTTGACTTGCACTTTCTCAAAGCTCCTCGAACATGGTATTCACTCGCAGATCAATAATTATCTCAAAGATCATAAAATGATTTCCAAACAGCTGCATGGTCATCGGAAGGGATTCTCTTGTGAGACTCAGCTTCCAGGATTCACTAAGAGATTTACTGCTTGCATTCATGAACATAAGGTTTCAGGCTTACGCCTTATTTCTCGTCTTTTCGAAGGCATTTCATTGTGTTCCTCACCGCAGATTACTACTCAAGTTAACGTATGTCAACATTGACTCACAGGTCGTTTCATGGATTGAACATTTTCTCTCCTCTCGCATTCAATTCACATCCATTAACAGTTGTTACTCTTCAATGGCACAGGTCACATCCGGCGTACCACAAGGGGGCGTGCTAGGCCCTCTGCTTTTTCTCATATTCATCAAAGATTTACTGAATGGCATTTCTTCACACATTAGATTATTCGCTGACGACTGCGTTTTGTATCGTGCCATCAGAAGTGACGAAGAACACAGAACCCTGCAAGCTGATCTCGAATCCATTCATTCATGATGCTCATCATGGCAACTGAAGCTAAATCACTCCAAGATTAAACTTACCTCCTTTACACGAAATTCCAGCCACCTCCCAACCACATATACACTTAATAACACACTCGTGGACTCAGTCACTTCATGCAATTATTTAAAACTTCACTTCCAGTCTGATCTCTCCTGGAACCATCACATCGATCACATTCTTGCAGCTTCTAACCACTTCCTTGGGGTGTTAAAACAAAATCTACGTCATGCTCCTACGCATGTGCGAAAACCGGCGTTCATTGTCGTTATCCGCCCAAAAATTGAGTACGCTTCCGCCATATGGAATCCGGATCTAGCATACATCATTGATAACATATAATCGCTCCAGAACCATGCTGCTCGTTTCATTCGTTCTGAATACTCTCGTTTCACTAGCGTCACTGCCTTAAAAGCTCGTGCTAGGCTTGTTAACCTTTCCCATCATCAAAAACTTGCTCACTTATCTCTTTTTCATAAAATCTATCCTCATTCATTGCTTCATGACGATTTTTTTCCGTCACTCTTAGCAATCTTTCCACGCCGCAATCATCCTCTGAAGGTCAGACGCATAACACTTCGTACGTCATCATTCGCTGATTTGTTTATACAAAAACTATCATTGAATGAAAACCAGCTGCCTCGAAATACTGCAATAAACAGGACATTTTAAAATTTAATGAACTTTTGAAAAAGAACAAAGTTTAGCATTTTGTGCTGTTCTCATTAACTTATTTCATTTTTCTTATGTGGTGCATCATTAGGTAGTTCTGTTTATTGCCATTGCGTTTTTAGCTATTTCTGCTTCTATATTTCTAACAGACGTTGGGTTATTGTGTTGCTCTTTTCCTATGAATATGTTGTATTTTTTGTTTGAAATTTTTATGCTTGGTGTCTATCCATTGCATTAGTCTTTTTTTACCCACCCCCGATGTAATACCCTCCCAGTGAATTCCTTTACGGGTTTCTTGAAATAACTAACTAACCAAATAAATTAATATATAAATGAGGGAACGGGAGCCACCCTGCAAGTGAATGGGGTTGGGGTGGAGGAGAAAATCAGTGCCCACAACAAACCTTCCAAAGGAAAGGTGCTCTGAATTCATTCAATACACCAAAATCTTTCAAAAGACGCTGTTTTCAACTCTCTCCTTCCTACTCTATGAAAAGTCCCCAAACTTAAAGTTTCTGGCTGTGGCTTGCTCTTAGGAACTGTGGGTGTAATAATATCTCGAATTCACTTGAAATTGCTTTTGATAATATTTCAACATACCTTTACATCTGCAGCGAATCTAGGTGGTGGGAGTACTAGAACAGCAAAGGCTTTGAATAATTGAATTTTTTAATAGATAACCATAAAAACTTGCGATACATTATACTGGACGTGCGGTTTTTTGAGATCTTCAATGGCACTCTCGCTCCTAATATTCCACACATGCAGCGCAACTCTTTCTCCTAAGTATGCCTACTGGAGCACTTCATAAGTAAACTAACCGTAGCGAAAAATGACCCATTATATTGGGAAGACTTCTGAACGCGTACAATTGCAATTAAGCCAATTAAAAGACATATTTTCTACTGCACACTAGGTTGAGTGACCCAACAGGTTTCTTAAAGTACAGTGCGCCCACAGCTTACCTTTTCTTTTTTGAACTGGAAAACAAGCAGTACATCTACTGCAAGTTACACTGAATTCGCAAACGCGCTGAGAACGAAAATTTAACAGTCCTGCATGACAATTGCCGTGGGAAGATGCTCATAAGCTGCTTCGGAAAAGCACGATTTTTATTTAAACGTTTACCTTACTCTGGTATTCTTAGTTGTTGTCCTGGTTGTCCGAAGCTTCCTAGGCAGCTTACGTCACAAGTGACAAAAACTAATCCAATAGAGCGTACAATGAGAGCAGTTTGAGGTGTCCAGAGGATGCACACCAGCGAACGGAGCATCATCTGCTACAGCTGTTCGTTGAACCAGGTGCGTAGACAGAAATGTTTTTCGGGGAGCGGTGGGTGGCACCTACTTGATTTCGGGAAGAACATCCACTTCAAATGGTCATATTTTGCTTGCTACAACATGCGCCAGCCAAAAACTATTGAGGAGGGGTCACGGGCTTGGTGTGCTATTACGACCTTACGTTGGTCCCCTCCAGTGGACGCACCAGTACTCGCTAGATTAAAAATTATAGAAACATCATTGAGCTCATTGTCAAATTTCTTCTAATTATTTATAGCATGACGGTGTGCCTAACGTGCTTCATATTGCCACTTGACACAAACATTTTGATTTGCACGAAGGCGCCGATCCACCTTGTCACAGTTGCTTGGAACCAAACAGCGCCGTGCGAATCCACTGCTTTCCACAATGCGCAGGACCTTCCAACTAAACTGTTGTCATTTTGTTTTGCTTTTGAATGACGGCTCGTTATAATTTTACTTTGGGAATCAGTACTAATGCTTGTGTAAGGTAGAAATAATATTTTTTACGAGAACTGAACTCGTATAGAAACGCTTGTTCACAAGGTTTTTGTGCATACTCTTGCACAAATCAATCTCTACTCAATCCCCCTCGCACCCGATACCTTCCAATTTGAATTGACGATGAAAAGCTTTGGCTTCTTCAAGTCACTCGCCTCTAGTCTACAGGGACTGCAATACCGATTCACAAACCTGTTCATACTATAAAGCGTGGACGCTCGAACGATGGTGACAGTGACTACCCGCACACACAATAGAAGCGCTAAGTACAATGATTTACTGGCAACCACGTCAAAATTATTCAGTCAGCTTTACGGTATGGGCGCCAAACCCGATGGAGCAACGGGGCGGAGAGTCTTTCCTTGTTTCTCAGTATTTTTCTTTCTTCCTTTATTAAAGACGATAGTCTTTCTTGGGGACCTCCGACGCAATAATTTTGGTCTGTCTGTCTTTACATTTTTCTGTTTGTTCGCCCTAAACGGGACATTAAACGGCACCAAAAGGGTCAAACGATACTCCAAACGGCTGACCCCATCCGCTCATTCACCAATATTGCTCAAGATTCAGCGTTCATACTTGTGCGATTGTCAATTAGGCAGCAATTATTGTGCATATTTGAGGCACCATGACAACACGTCAATATTCGGTATGTGGGTCTCTTACTAAAAAAAGCATACATGAGTGAAAAGCATACATAAGGACCGTAGCGTTTATCACGTTCCACTGACCAGGCAACGCTTGCACGAAAAGGCAAGTGTTTCCAACGCTTTGCTAAGACGACACGGTGGTGGCACCTACCCGTTGCCTTGCGTTATACACCTTATCACCTCCGAGACGAACGTGCAGGGCGCGCGCGCTTCGTTTTGCAGGATAACTGCCAGATAGCGCTCATGTCTCGCGTGTGACGTGACTCGATGCGCTCCTTCGCCTCCGCTGCACGCTTTAGGCACTCTGGCGCAGCGCCTCCAGAATACCCTTCAACCATTATCTTGCGCAGAACATTAAATAAACGTTTTGTTCACTCTCTCCAGACGCAAGACTATCGTCTTTCGGCGACATTTGCAGTGTAACGTGCAGATACGGGGCCAATTTTTTTTTATTTCTCTACGTTTTAATCAGTTTTTTATTGCATTTTTCTTTTTTTATTTCTTTTTTATCTCTCCATTGTTTCCTTTTTTATTTCTAATTTTTCCCCGCTTTGACTTTTTATATAGGACTCTTTTTTTCTATATTTTTACCTTTCTGTCAGTATTTTTACCTTGCTGTCTTTTTATCTCGTTATTGTGTCTTTGTTTTCTTTCATTTTTTGTATTAGTTTCCATTATTTCTTTCCACTTATCTTTTTTTACCTCTGCCTTTCTCTATTGCATTTATTCCTCTCTTTTTGAACTTCTTTCATTGTCCATCCACGCCGTACAAATAGGCAGCCTCGATCTGATAGCGGAACGCAAGATGAAGAAGATGAAGAGAGAGTTCGTGCCAGCCGAGTTGCTGTGCTCGATTAGGCGATAGTTTTTCCCACAACAGTAGAACTTCTCCTCGCGAAGAAATTGGATGTCGTCTTTACTCGGTAGCGAGGCTTTCCAATTCAAATGGCGCATTTCCGGCTGAAAGCTTCGATTCGCCAGATAAAGAGCACTTATCAAAACCGCTTTATGTTCAACTATATACCAGGAAATCGAAGTCACTCAGTCATTTTCGAATTTGAAGGGACCAAAAGATCAAAAAATGATCTAACTAATGACAATGACAGTCTGGTTACAGCTTGTCCTAGCTTGTGTATGGTAGCCGAATTAACTAGCAACCACGATGTTTCATCTTGGTGGATTCGTACAACCTCGCATTTACGAAAAACACCTTCAGGTGTGGCAATTGACGCGGCGATATCGAAGCGTCTTCAGTCTTTTTACTTACTTTTTGTGCTTCCTAAACCTGTCCTCGAGGTAACACCTGGTTTGCCCTACGTAGTTTTTTCCACACGGCAAAGGCAGCTATAGTACCCATTTTTCCCATGGCATGTGCGGTCTTCTGATATTATTTTTGTTGACAGCTCTTTGCTTTATGTGCCTCTAGGTGGTTGGGTCCATAGAGTTTTTCTAGCTTTTTTGTAACCGTAACAGCCACACTAAGAATTTTTCGTTTTAGCAGACAGCCTTTTTATATTGCGGGAAATATCGCATAGGTAGGGCATCATGGCGAACTTCCTTCAGATATTCATAACAGTGTCAGCATTCTACTGGAAACCCGAATATCTCTTGAACCTGTATTCTGCGAGTGAAGGGTTGTCAGGGTCGGCCTACTTTTGAAAGGCGTGTGGTTCAGCACCCAATGCTGGCCTCTACAAAATGGCAACACGATTTGCTTAGCACACTGTGTGTCTCACGACACTTCTCTTGAGTAACTTTGAGTGGGAGGACTCCCGGTCATGTCCCCCTCATTAAGTTCTGCGCATCACGAGTGCGTCACACCAAGAATGCCAAAATTCTACCTCGCTAAGCAAATTAAGCTTTCGTTTTGTGCTTTGAGAATCAGCATGCAATATGATTAATCAGTTTCTAGCTTTTATTTGCACAAAACAAACTCTTACGATGGCTTTCACTGCAGGGTACTGAAGAAAGGACTACCCAAGTGTATCGCCCATTCCAAGATCAACACAAAGCAGTGCGCCCAGGTCGACGAGAAAGCGATAGAAAAACTGATGCACACTTTCGCCGAACGCACAGTGCCAGGGTACAACGCGGCTTCACGAGCCGGTTTCAGCACTGCTGCCATTGCTGTCCACCGTTGTAGCTCTGGTTTTCACCAGATGGAACTAGAGCCCCTGCCTTAAACAAGGTGGTCAAAATTGATTTGTGAATCACCAGTGCCTCACCTATCACGATATCCTTTCGCAACGCTCAATCACAAAATTTATTTTAACGTAAATAAAGTTTATTTATATTGACATAGTAAGGTTTGTTTGAACCATTCATTGCAGCAGAGTGGTTTGTGGGCCTTAACACTTCACTCCAGCGCCGCTATTGCTGGATGAAGTGGAAAGCTGCTTCTCGTGCATTTTCTCTGTCGCGTATGCTACTACGAATACTGTTTCTTACTGTCCATTCATAGGTTACGTTACGGGGTGTAACTGGTATGTCTGTTATTAACTTTTACCGCAGCGCTTTATAAAATGATACGTAACCTAAAAACTGGCACATCCCATGTACAGCGACAATCAATGATATGCGAAGCACGAATGAGAAAATTTTGATATGTCACTTTAAGATCAGCACAACGTTACGAAGCGGACGTAAATTATGCTGTAAATAACTTCCATGCAATGATTATCATGTTTTGACATGTCAGTTACCTTCATCGTTTACTCACATCACGTGATACCTAATTGGATATATGTTGAGCTAGCGAAACGGCCGCGAGCGCGCTATGACCGTAGCAAGTAGTCATGTTTTACATGACACATATGCCACGATTATCATGTTTGAACATGTCAATTACCTTCGTTGTCTATGCACGTCCCGTAATACCTAATTTCGTATATGTGAACCTAGCGAGACGGCCGCGAGAGCATTATTTGCGTGGTATGTAGTCATGTTGTCACATTACACGCATGTTTGATTAATATGTTTGCAGCAGTCATATAACTTTGTCATACATTCACATTCTGTAATACCACACTTGCTATATGCGAAGCTGGCGAAACAGCCGCGAGCTCATCATAAGTGTGGCATGTAGTCATGTTGTTACTTTACACGCATCTCACGATTGTCATGTTTGCACCAGTCACATTCCTTCGTTATCCATTCACGTTCCGTATTACGAAATTTGGTATATGTGAAGCTCACGAAACGGCCACGAGTGAATCCCGACTGTGGCATGTAGTCATGACTCATGACTTACATAACATGCATGTCACGATTTCTATGTTAGGGTTTGTCACTTTTGTTCGTCTTGAAGTCATGTCATGCTATACCAGTTTTGCAACATGTCGAGTAAACAAAACCACTGCAAGAGCAGCAAGAATATGAAATGGAAATCATGACATACGTGTCATGACCTTCATGTTATTACTAGTCAACTATGCTCGTCATGCAGTCATGTTATGCCATAAACATTTCGTTATAGATACCGTTATTGAAACAGCCAGGAGAACCAAATGTCGCAGATGCCATGAATAGATACGCACAAAGTCGCGGAATTTCGCTAAGAAATGCTTTGCGTTTAATAATTTAACAAACTAAACACCATTTACCAGCAGAAAGAAATCATTCTTAGCAGCGTACATAATATTGAAATTGGATATGGAAATCTTTCCTAGGTAGACCTCAGCTACCGGGCCTTAGTTAGAAAACTCCCGAGATTGCAGTGGCAGTTAAAAGGACTGACAACAAGACACATTGTTGTTATATATCCTGGAGGAGATAAAATAACTGTTAGTCAAAGTGAAAGAATTAGGTATAGGTTTTATGTTTTCATAGTGTGGGCAGGGCTTATATATTAAATATTGTTTAAATATTGCAATAACGGGTATGCGCCACCCCGAGCGGAAAAGCCTCGAGGAAAGATTATGGAGTAGTTCACTACGGTTTGCGTTGTCTAATGCCTTCATGCGCTCCATAATTTATGCTATACTTAAAGTGTGCACACTATTTATCAATATGCACACTATGCCGCTTACACAGGGGAACGTCCACGGCCATCGTGGCAACTGACCTAGAGAGCTACTCTGGATGTGTCCATTCTGTGGACTTTCCATTTCAGCCGTCGCTTAGTGGATGAAGCTCGGCGAACAGCGCGTATGCTCTTTCTCTCATTACTAGCGTAACGTCAATTCGACGCAACGGAGGCTGGACAGTTTTCGTCGTAAAGGATAGCCATGCAATGCACTACGAAAGCGTTGATATGCCACCTGCGAAAATGTGCTTCTGGCCATGCAAATCTTGGAGGTTGTGCTTCAACTGTCATCATGTGATAGCAGTTTGCTCTCAAGTTAGGTTTATTGCGGCTACTCGCTTGGCGTGCCTGTCGATGTCACTTCATTATTCCTTGTGCTGTTTTCAAGCATCCGGGACGTGTTTGCATAGTAAGGACATACTTATCAAATTTTAGGTGTTTATATATAGCACAATTCATATAGGACTTCTCACGCTCTAATTGCAGTAAGTGCATCAGATCCTCGTTATATCCGTCGTAAATCCCACCTTATAGTTCGGTTAACCTTTTCGTTTATCACCTATGCTTTATTTTATTCTAAAATTACAGTGGTTGCACATCGCGCGCCGATGCTTATCAGCCACACCCACCAGCGGAGACAGGCCACGAAGCCGCTGCGGCAAGGTTGCCGGCGCGAATCCATTAAGAGAGACGGAAGCCACATCAGCTTTTGACTAGTTTCGGCGCTAGATTTTGGACATTCTTGCATGGTCTGTGACAGGCGGTAGTCTGCCCATAGGAAAGACTTGGCATTGATCATAAATGCCACGTTAAGCACCTAAAATCAACCAGCTTCACTGCTTCTCTGTATTTACACAGCTAGTTCTAATTGAGCATGATAACTGCGGCGGATAATATTGCCACCAAAATCCGGTGCTCTCACGAGCTCGTAAAAAAATATTCTTAGCAATGGCCTTGGTCAGTGATGTGCTCACTGCGTGTATTAAGCACGACTATATTGAGCAGGAATGAGATCGAGTACACGCAGCACTACACTAAAACGCCTTCCCCACGTGGGATTCTCAGACCTTGGCCGTCAGCTCGGCTTTCTCGCACTCAACCGAAGACGATCCACTGTTTTTGTTCTGTATTCGTTCTCACGATCACAGGCATGGCTTCTCATGTTCTGCCACCGTTAGAAATAACCTGCGCTTTTATGCATGTGCGAAATATCAGTCATCCATTGGAGCAGCAGTTTGAGAAAAAGTTGCTCGTGCACATTTGTACAATGCGAAGTTGATAACTGTTTCTTTTTTTTTTTTCAGAGTATACTTTTGGTCTTCAGGCGGATGAGTACTTCGAACTTCTTGCACTGCTACTCTCCGCAGTGCAGCAATGTGCGACGGATCTTATTATTGTTTGCAATTTGCAGGGTTCACATGAAGACAAACATTTCAAATTCACAAAGACATCAGCTTTCGTCTAGAAATTTCAGCGCTAACCTTTGAGTGAGTCCCCATCCCATGTTCATGTTAATGTGATGGAAGGGGTCACTTATCGTAGCAAGAAGTTTCACTACACAATGACCTGTGAGTTACGCACTGCGTGAGTTGTACCACGTGTTGTGCGCGTAATAGGTGGGAAGAGGGGTGATACGAGCTTGTTGTGCTTTTTGAACAACATTTCGGAAGCCGAGAAAGTCACAGGCACATCGCTGCAGTGTTGCTAAGAGGCAGGCTCAACAAATATTTACTACCATTCACAGATACGCCTGCATTGCCGAGTGACGGTGAGTTTAGCAGTAAGATAAAGTTTTATGGGGAAGAAATATGTATACGGTAATACAGTTCTCAAAGTACAAACACATCACCAAGGCAGCTATCTATTCCCCAAAAGAGCGAAACCCATGTTGTTGCACACGACGACGATTTAACAGAAAAAGTGTGAAAAACATATTTTGCGAAAATCAAGTGCCCTGTAACAGAGGCGAGCCCAGCGCAGTAATTGCAAGAGTGCCGAAATAAAAAGTGGCTATATGTGCATGGTGAGTTTAAAGTAAACATTTATGATGTAAACTAACCACACGTATCCGGCATAAGTTCTCATTTTATGATGACAGGGAGACCTCCTGCTCTAAAACAATATTTTTCGTGATAAGTTTGTTAAGGCCAGCAAACCAACAACTTTATGAAATTATATCTTTAAACGATTATAAAGAACAACCAGTAGCATATAAAAGGGTTTCGTTCTAACTAAACTTAAGGTACTTATGAGATTTAGTTCCATCTAGAAAGCTCTGCTCACACCTCATGGCCCTAATGATATGCACTTCCCACCATTTTTTCTTCTTCCGGTGAACAGTGCATGGGGAATCGCCCGACTTTAAAGAAACACACGAGGTACAGGAAAAGAGACCCGGTGCACGGGAAATGTTAATCTGCCAAACATACAAATTAGGATATCTTGAAAGGCATACTTTGTTGACGTGTTCAGATTACTTCATTGTATGACAAAGCGCCCCGAATTCGCAGTGCTGCAACGAATTTCACTTCACTTTCACTTCCCTGCATCCTCACGGCAGATATCACAGCACATTATGCGTAAGTGATGTGAAAATGGCCTCACTGAAAGAAATCTTTTTACATAGTTTTTAGACTCCAAAAAGTCTTTCGATTGAATACAGATATCGACAGGTTTACAAGTGCTGCGTCGTCAGCCAATCGATTGAGCATATGTAAACACACCTACCAACGTCAGCCAAGCTTCCATGGTCACCCTGCTCCTACATAAGTAAAACCGGACAATTACGATATAAAAAGGGGCTGTAGAGAAATTAATCTAGACTACATTCTGCTCATTAACTTCTTATTAGTAAATATGAATGACTAAGTGCATGGTACGTGGCATGACGATCACACCTCATCCATCAGAGTCGTGTGGTGTTCTCCTTGACCCCATGGGTTTCTCGACACACATGCGTTAGCCGCGCCCACCAGCAGCACACCAGGGTCACTCATGCTTGCAAGATTTTGGTGGGAAAACCGAAACTGCTAAGCTATTATTCCCACCAGACCACACTAGGCAATACTGTTTGTCTATTTTTATTTTCTGTATGCTGTACTTTTACCAAACAGATGAAGAGGACAGAGAAATAACTTTAAACTGAGAATATCACAGCTCCTCGTGAGTTGCGCGGGCTCAAAATATTCACATTGTGCCCCTCAGCATGAATGACGATTATTTACAAAAGCAACAAAAATATTTTTGGAAGTTCGAACAAAGAAAGCGTTCAAGGAAGGTTG